AGAACTCCGGTATAACCAGGGGTACACTGGCACGTGTAGGCATTCACCCCATCCAGACACGTGGCGCCGTTCTGACATGGACTGCTGGCACATTCATTAATATTTGTCAAGCAGTTAAGACCAGTATATCCAGTGGGGCACTGGCACGTGTAGGAATTAATGTTGTCTTGGCATGTGTTACCGTTACTACATGGGTTGCTGGCGCATTCGTTTATGTTAGTGGCACAATCTGCCCCTGTGTATCCTGAAATATAGAATGAAAAACATTGCATTTGTAACGGTTGTGTATAGGCATGTAATTATAACAAAGAAAATTAACTGTCCTTATTTTTAAAGCTAAGCTAGCTGTATGTTTGTGAAAAAAGGTAGTCTTTCTACCAGATACTACCAGAAAAAAAGAGTATAATCACCCCCCGGTATTTTATCCACGAGGTTCTCTTTCTAACATAAATCTTTGCCATAATAAATGTTTGCTAATGAATAAGAATACAGTGCGACAAGTTCAAATGGCCTTCACTGCCTTACCTGGGTCACAGTAAACTTTGACTTGCAGAGTAAGCCTGTGAAAAAAGAGAGAAATTTAGGTAAAATAATAATTGTTATCATTATGTCAAACGACTTGTAAACTGGGTAACAGGAATGGTAGTCCATTAAGGAATGGTAGTCTAGGGTCCCATATATATAGGACAGGTTTCGGGTTAGTCGTAGTATTGAGATTAGTACACGGGAAGATTGTCACCTGTACAAAGTTACGGGGAACAGACTACAGCCTAGCGGATTACCATTCCTGTCACACCGGCAGGTGTAATACCCCGAGTGTATTGTGGCTTGAAGTCTTATTGAAATTATGTATCGAACATGTTTAAGATTTACTCGTAGAAATACATTATTTGGCACTGATGTCGTTTCAATATTTTCTGATATCAACATACGACGTGGGTTCTGTCCCTCTAGTTCCCTGCAAGGACACCGAGGTCCAGGATGCAGCGTTCTCACTGGGGGCGGCGGCTGTTGTGATGGTCGTCTGCAAGAAGTCAATGGGGTCGTCGCCTCCGGATGGGCCTCCATCTATGTCCTTTACGTCCACTTTTAATTTGAAGGAACCCTAAATTGACTCATAACATTTACACTGTGAACAAGTATATTTATAGGAAGATAAAACTTCGCCTATGAGTTAACTATTAAATAGATTTTTAGTTTCAAAGAACCGTTAAATGGCACATGGTTAGTGTGTGGCACTGTCACCGTATATTTTAGGAATTTTTTTGTATGCTTTGACAGGCTTTTACGGGCGGATGAAAAGTAAAAAAGCACTGAATTTCAATTAATTAAGATTAATGCACTGCAATTCAACAAGACTACTCTCGATAAGAAAGATATAGTCCAAATATACAAGAGACCTACGATACGGCTTCTTTTGTCTTATAAACTGTTTGCAGTACTGCAGTACAAAAGGGATTGTTTTATCCATTATATCTGAACATGCACCCTTTCAAGAGGCAACCTACCGGCCATGAAGTAATATCTGCAACAAAAGGATCTTTAAATCCATTTTCATTTCTAAAATATGTATCATTGCTCTTTGTATCCCCCAAATACCCAAAAGACCCATAGGCACATGAATCCATGGAATTGCTCCTAGAATATGAAGCGGGAAAGACATTTTAAAATCTTTTGATGTTGGGTATAGATAAAATTCATAAGATTACAATTCTGTGACAGGATGTACCGTGATTAGTTAAAATCCTATTATTTCTTCTTTGTTAGAATGCTTTACATCTATTGCCTTTTTACCAAGTGAATATATAAAGACTCTAAGTGAATATTAAGACTCTGATGTGCTGTATCGTTGGCATACGGACCTATATATATGTGTATGTGTACCGGTACATGTTTATGTTACCGCGAAGGTTGACCCTAAGAGGGGAGCAGCTCTTTGTCTTCATTTATCAACATCCGATCTTTTTTTATGTTTTTAATCTAAACTATATATATATATATATATATATATAATTTAAATGAAAGGCTTTTGTCAGAACAATTTTGATCATTATTTTACTCCAAAACCTACCCACTGCTGCCGTCAAAGCACAACTTGAACGTCGTATCACAAGGGTCCAAGTTGCACCAGAATGTCAGAATACTGTCACAGCACTGTCCATTTGCACTTTTATGATTGGCATTCGTAAATCTACGCAGCTGCACTGCTATCTTCCCAGTAGAATCCACTTTTGTGAGGAGCTACAGTTTTGAAAGTAATGCAAATTTTGTCTAACTATTCATCTGCTAAAGGCTACTTAAACATTATTGTCGAGGAGTGCCAGCCGCTTTTTTTGTATTGCCAAGGGTAGGAAGAGTATCCTAAGTGCATATCTTTGGTTCGTTTCTAAAAAGCAGATAGCCAAAAATGAGTATTTAGGTAAATCTTTTTTATTATTATTTAAGAAAGAGAGAGAGGAAGTGATGAAAATGCGCGCACGTGCGCGTGTTTGCGTGTGTTGAACAGAGAGTGAGAGAGGGAAAAGGGGATGAGAGAGAGATAGAGGAATAACTGACCTGAACTGATATTATGATGAGAGTCAAAACCAGCGAAGCACCCGTCAGTTCCATAATGGATATCGGTGACAGACAGGTTGAAAACAAGTGACCGGTACAGCATGCAAGGGTTCATGTGAAAACATCCATATGAGACCTTAACTTAGTAACTGTAAAATCTTCAGCATCCTTGATAACACAGCCAGTTGAATAATGGGCTTGGCTGCTGGTACATTTTGGTTCATAAACCACATCCATGAGGCTTGCCTGTGATTTTCCCCGTGAGGATTTTGTTCTATAGCTTACTTTAATTTTTATCTAAATTAATCTATTTAATATTTAAGATATATATCCTATATATCGTATTGCATATACCCTAAGTATCTTGAAATTTGTGTTTTTTTATCTTTTTACTGAAAAGTCTGAAAAACGTGTTTATAGAGATGATACATTTTATGTTTCTTGTGTGTAATATGATAACATAACGCAGAACTTGTAAATTGTGCTCACATAATACTTTTACTCAGTTTCATTTTCACGTGTACCCAGGAAGTGGAAATTTCAAATTCAATTCTTTGCATCGAACTTTACTTCATGCCGACATCACTACTACATTCCATGCCGGTATCACTATAATGTGTATACTCAGGAGCGTTAACCAATTAGCATCGAGTTTCACAAAATTGACCGCAATGTCCCTTGGGACAGAGGCATGTAAACGAAATTTCGGACTCGGAGACGCAGGCACCTTTGTTCTGACACTTGATGTATGCACATGGGTCTCGCTCGTTGCACTTCGGACCTGAAAACAAAATTATTTCCTTTCTATTAAAGATAATTTGGATGCGGTGAAATTTTTAATGAAACTACATAACAATGAGTCTAAATAAACTGAATAAGATTTTATCATTGTTTACTCCAAAAGATTAAAAACGTTTTGCAAATGGAGCATATAAAATTCTTACTAGTCAAACGTTAAGGTTTGAACAAGAGGTAAATCATGAAGTTGTTAACTGACTTTTTGCCAATCACATCCAACTAACACTCACCTTTCATGCCGTGTTTGCATCTGCAGTTGAAGGAGCACACGTAATTGCCAGAGAAGGACCCAGTCACCTGGTGAAGAGAAAACTGACAGGTGCTTCCAAAATATCCGTCTCTGCAGAAACACACAGCTGTGAAATTATCCATGACGCAGATACCTCGGTTCTGACACGGGTTTTTCTTGCACATCAGCGGCACCTGGTAGCGATCACCAGCATGTCCAGAAGGATATTTACAACGGTAGCCATCTGCCATTTCCAGGCACGTGCTTGACTGTCCACATGGCTGACCGTCACAATAACTGACTTTATTCTGGCATCTGGCACCAGTAAACCCGCTGGGACAAATACAGGTGAATCCATTAATGCCGTCCTGGCATTTGGCATTATCCTGGCATGGTTTGTCTGCACATTCGTCAATGTTTGTTTCGCAATCAGTTCCCGTAAATCCTGCCAAACACTGACACGTGTAGGAGTTGATGAGATCTGAACATGTCCCGCCATTTTGACACGGCACTCTGGCGCATTCGTCGATGTTAACTCCGCAGGTAACTCCCGTGTACCCTGGTCGACACATGCAGGTGTACGCATTTTGGCGGTCCAAGCACAATGCGCCGTTTTGACAGGGATTGCTGGCACATTCGTTGACGTCGACCTGGCACCGAGACCCTGCGAACCCCGGCACACAGCGGCACTTGTAGGAATTCACACCATCAACACAAGTACCGAAATTCAGGCATGGATTACTGGCACACTCGTTGACGTTTGTAGCGCATGTTGTTCCAGTATACCCAGCTGGACATACACAGGTAAAGGAGTTGACGCCATCTATGCACCGAGCGCCATTTTTACATGGGTTACTGCCACATTCATCAATATTAATCTCGCAGTTAGTCCCGGCAAACCCCGCGATACATTGACAGCGGTACGAGTTAATGCCATCAATGCATGACGCCCCGTTCTGGCACGGAGTACTGGCGCACTCGTTCACGTTCACTTGACAGTTTATCCCTGAGAATCCCGAGGCGCACTGACAGGTATAGGCGTTGTTTCCTTGAACACAGGTTCCACCATTTTGACAAGGGTTGCTAGAACATTCCAACACTTTCGACTGGCAGTTCGTGCCAGCGTACCCAGGAGGACAGATACACGTGTACATGTTGGTACCGTCAAAACAACTCCCGCCGTTTACGCATGGATTGCTGGCGCACTCGTCCACATTGGTACCACAATCAAACCCGACCCAACCTGGTGAGATAATGAAAAGATTGTGACAGAAATGCCTCGTATATATTTCAAGAGGAAGTTACATTTTCCTATTTTTATTTTCATTTACATGTCTTGTTAGACCATATTATTTACTTTTTGACTTTACTGTGGGCATATGCAAGTTAGTGAATACACTATTTAATCTGTTAAGAGACAAAGTTAATTTCACAAATAAAAAAATCGCGATCATGCCTGTACCTTAGCTGCATCATCTCTACGTAAATGTTGGTGTCATTCATTTCAAATGCAGTGAAGTATATTTTAATTATCTAATCGCTGTAAAAAGTTCAGAAACATTTAATTTTACCTGGATCACAATACGCTTTAACGTTGAAGGTCAACCTGAAAAGAGAAGAAAAAAACTTGATGTTACTAATTAAGCGAGTTATATGTTACTTATGAAGCAAAATATTATTAGTTCTCATTTATGAAATATTATAGAATATCCATCATTTACCGTATGCAGTATGTCTGTTAGTAACAGTCTATCAACCTTCCTTACATTCATACCTAAGCTTCAAGTATGCAGTAATCCACCATTGGCATGTTACACTATGAAGCAGCCAAACTTGTTTGAAATAAAGTAACATGTATACACAGATTATACCGGCAACTTACGACGTTGGTTCTTGCTGTCTCTTCCCCGTGATGCTCTCAAAGTTCCACGTGTTGTCGCCAACGTCCTGTACTATCGCATTTACGGGAATTACGGCTTCAAATGTGTCCACTCTATCGTCTCCTGGGTTACCATCCAGACTGGCTGCTACGTCTTTGTCTATAACGTCCACTTTGATTTTAAACGAGCCCTGAGAAATAGGAACGAAGCCAGTGCATGTACGACATTAAATTATTGTAACCCAATACTAGAACAAACAGAGAACATGATGACAATACTACAATAGTATATAAAAAGTATGAATACCAAATGAGAATATGGCTTGTAAATCTCAAAAGCCATATATTGTTCATCTGTCCAACCTGAATTCTACATTGGTCAATCAAAAAGACTCATAAACCGAGTACGCAAGTATTTTAATACTGTTAAAACAACAAATCAAAGATTCAACAAACTGGTACACCTTGCTCGGAATACATACACTGATGCTCATAAGTTAAGCAACACTTTCTAATTTCTCAAATTTCTCAGCAACCAAGCTTTTTATTGAGGCAAAATTTGTACAGTAGCTAAACATGTATCTCGTTCTTACTTTGAACTAGTGGACCGTGACATTTGAGTATTATTTACTGTTGGGTAGGGTAGAATATGCAATAGGGGTGCCACTTGCGAAAAACACAGTTTGGGCATGCCATGCGGAGCTTCCAATTTGGCTGGTTTCATGGGCACAATTTGTTATATTGTACCAAGCAATGGTTAGAAGAAGACTCAACGAGGTAATCAGATGGCAAATTATAGGAAGCCATCTCGCTGAGGTGCCAGAGAGATGGCTTCCTATACAGACAGATTGCAAGGCAATAGAGAGTAGCACCAAGTCAAGTGTCCAAGCTGGTAGCAAAATGGCGCCAAACTCATCATGTATTGGACAAGCCTCTTTCTGGTATACCGAGATTAACCCACGCAAGTGTTAGAAGATGTTAGGTTCGACTACGCCACCAGAACCGGTTCATGTCGACCAAACAGCTGAGAAACATCTGGCCTGGATTAGGAAGAGCTCGAATCAGTAGGCAGACAGTCAACAGGCATAATTTAGAAGCTGGACTTTCATTTAAAAAGCCTCCTAAAAAGCCACCGTCGACCAAAAGACACAAGCAGATAAGTTTGGCATAAGCCAGATGACGAGAAAGATAGAATCTAAGGACTGGGTGAAGGGTCCTGTGGACTGACGAGAGCAGATTCACTTTGATGTATGCAGATGGTTGGCTGGGAGTCTGGAGAGGTCCAAACCAAGCGTTTCAGGGTGATTGTGATCACCCACGTATTCAGGATGGCGGAGTACCCGTCATAGTATGGTGTGCTTTCTCATATGATGAAAAATTGCCACTGTACGTCATGCAAGGGAGATACACTAGTCAACGATACAGAAAAGAAATACCATTGGGGTGCTTGCAATCACACATTCAAGCAAATCCAGGAAGAAATATCATTTTGGTGCAGGACAATTTGCCCATTCATAAAGCACGGTCCGTGCAAATCGCGCTGCAACAGCATGGTATTCCAAATTTGGATGGCCCTGCAATATTCGCCAATTCTCAGTGTAATTGAACATGCTAAAGATATGATTGACAGAGCAGTTAATGAGAGACAACCTCAAGTCGGAAACATAAGAAAGCTCCAGCAGGCAGTAATTTAGGAATGGAACAGGCTCACAATGCAAGATTGACAGAATTTGGTGGCAAATTGCAGGAGACATTGTGAAGCTGTTGTTCAAAAATAGGGAAGACACACCCAATATTTATTGGATAATAGACGATTAATCATTTATTATCTACAGTCTTCTTTTATTAAAACTAATTCTTAGATGATTGAACTTTATTTTTTCATGATAAGCTGTTTTAATTAGCACGTACTTAATGCTGTGTGAGCATACTTTTTAGACACATGGTTTGGCCTATTTTGGTACCGTTTGGTTAATAAAGTTATTTTGATTATTACAATAAGCTTTGTGGTGTATTTCATTAACAGAAATATTCAATTTGAATAGGTTATTTATAAAATATGAAAGAAATATGCATAATTCCACTAACAAATGAAATAATGATCATGATAGAAGAAACTTTTGAAAGAATCTGGGTGTTGCTTAACTTATGAGCATCAGTGTATACTTCTCATAATTTAACTGTATTATACGAATGTATTAAAACAATGATAAAAATACGTTTCAAGATCATGAACCTCATGTTAACATTGTTAATATTGGAAATTATGTAAACAAATTGTAAGAATTCAATACCGGCCACTTGGTTAAGTTTAGAAAAAAGTAATCGTCCTGACCACAGTAAAATTTGCTAAAACAAGTATTCAAACAACCACATATTACATTTGCCAAGAAAGGAATCATACCGGCCACGTGGTAAAGTTTGCCAAGAAAGGATTCTTGGTTTCATCTGGTCCTGTTTGAAAGTTGATGTCATTGGACTGGATGGATCCGACATAGCCTGTGGACCCGTAGGCACACGACTCAATGTCGCTATTTCTGAAGGAAAAAATTACAGATATAACAGAATGATTCAAAAATGCCTATCACGATTTTGCGCCTCGTTACTTCTATGAAACTATAGGGCACGTAGACAACTACGGCGTTAAACTGACTAAGCTTCTACAATGTAAGTGCACTTTGGAAATAGCGTCCGGGAGTGGACTACTTCACTGTATAACATCACCCATCTTATGAATACCCCATAGCAGGGAATTATACACAAAAATGTCACTTTAACAGCATCAAAAATTCTAAATAAACAAAATCTATTCAATGCCAGACATGCGCCCAGTCTTTCTCGAATTGGAGTAAGTATTCTAAAAGTATTATAAACGAAACACTAAATTATTAAGGAACATACAGGTATCAGCAGTACTGGAGGCAAGTCCCCGGTAATCCCAGGGAACAGCAGGTAGCGAAAATACACTTATCAACCTTATCGATCAACTTGACTGACAAAAGCTTTTGCCAAACCCAGGCATTGGGGAGGGGGGGGGGACTTCTTTCGTCTGGAATAACCCTACCGATACGATGTCCTTTTTAAGCATGTTGGATTTTGGATGTTTTTCCTGAACTTTTGACTTACCTGACACTTAAATATGAGATAGGAATTATTTTGGTACTCAGTCATTTGGTAACATACAGTAGAAGTGGTCAAATACAAATAAGCCTGTTACACTCACCAGGCATGCCACATTGTGCAAGTCTTATATATACTGTACTTTGATGAATTAAAAAACGACGACTGAGATGACTAATTTGGTCTTTTTTATCTAGAAGCGATGACTTCTGTATATCATTTCCCACAATTTCACAAACACGGTTGAGTCAAATTAAAAAAGCCCTCATCACATTTTACTAGAAGCAAAATACCTGTTACACTAGGCTTGCCATGCCAATAAAGCCCCTTTTACACTGGACGGCTTCCCATTGTACGGTCCCTTTTGAGAGCAAAAAATGATAAAACTTAACGTTCCGAAAACTGGCCGATCATTGAGCATTAATTCAAGCGTTGCTTGTCCCTCTTTCTACGACTACAGCAGTGCCAGTTTCATGGTAGCACAAAGAACGAAGAAAGGACGCCGTCCAGTGTAAAGGGGGTTTTAGGTCATGTGTACTGACTTGGTTGATAACAGTGTGACATGTATCATACTAAGACATGACCGAAGAGACCAAGACTACATGTATTTTGCCAATGACAGCCAAATAGGTTACAATATGTATGGTTATTAAACTAATAGTTTCATGTTCAAAAACGAAAAAAAATCTATGCTGTGGTAAAAAATTTAAGTTAAAATTATCAGCAATAGGAGTGCGTCTTTTTCTTTCGACTTACCTGACACTATTAATAGGACGGGTGGTACTGTGTGGATTTATTTACATTAGACTGTATTTCTTTGTGTTTTATTCGGCTTAAATTGCTTTGCGCAAGATGAAATTAAATTCATTTCAATGTGTAGTTCTTCCAAAATTATGTGTGTGCGTGTGTGTCTGTGTGTGTGTGTCTGTGTGTGTGTGTCACCATTACTTGTAAGTATTTGCCTTTTCTACATTTTAAACAATGCATCCAAACCCGCGAAGAACTTTCAAAAATTCATGTTCATCTACATATATTATCTTAATTATATATAAATTTTCATATATCTACACTAAGTCAACTTACCCGCCAGGTGCATCAAAACACAGTTTGAAGGATGTGTCGCAAGGGTCGAGGTTACAGAAGAATGTTAAAGAGTTATCACAGCACTGGCCGCTATCGCGTTTGTGGTTCTCATTTTTGAAATTTAGAAGCTGTACTGCTATCTTGCCAGTCGCATCAACTGGTCCAAAAAACTGTAACTGAATCATAAGTAGTTAGGTGGTTAGGTATTATCAACAGCACATCCAGCGTGTTATTCAATGTTTTTAATATATCTCTGCAGCATATGATTAAACATGCTCAAAAAAACCACGTGTCATTCAGCTTTGTATTATCTTATGCAGCAATAATTCTGAACATAGTTTCAGATGTGTGGCGTGACAGAGCGAAATGAGCCAATCAAAGTTCTGTAATTTTGATGCTTAGGTTTCTTTTTAGTTATACCCAGTCTTTCATGCATTGAGCTGCGCTTTTCGTTAATTCTTTGCGAATATTTCAATAACTGCAATTAAATTAGATTATCTGTCCTGGGGTTAAATTAAAACTGAATTTTCAAAAAAGAAAAATAAAGAGAAATACATTTTATCATTTTCCGTTACAAAAACAAAGAATATACTCACAAAACACGCTGAAAGAAGACTAAATATCCAAATCGGTGATGTCTTTAATGGGACGTCCATTTCAGCACTTGGATGTCGGTGTGATATTCAGGCTACGCAAATGCCAATTACACGAGATATTCGCACAGGTGATTGATGTTGTTTACAGTTGATTCCTTATCGCTGCAGATTCCTTAGTTTACAGAGCTAAACGAGCAACAGGTTCACTTGATCTGTAGCTAGCTAACCTGACTCGGAGTAGTGATGTTTAGGTCGCGTGAGGCAAGTGCAAGCAAATGACAAAGCTGAATAATATGGTATGGGTGCGTCCTTATTAGACTAGACGCTTATCCTGAAAAGAGGCTTATAAAGTAACTTATATTCCCTTGGCAGTCTATACTCTGTTTGATATCGCATAATGATACACAAATATATAATGAATCATTACAGGGCGGTAGTTCTATAAAACGAGTGGGCCGTGACACTGATACAGGGCGCTAAAATCAGCGGAATGTGCGAAAAATAGGCATTTTAGTCTTGTTGACAGTACCTGAAGTAGACCAAAATGCCTGGATTTATCGTTTAAATCAATTATTATCTTATTATTTCTTGTGAAACAGACCGCAGATTATTTTTCTTTAAAATTGCTCGTTTTGAAATGTGAAATTCATACAGGTATTCGTCATACACCTTAGTTTTCCTGTGTGTAATGCATGTATAATATCTTAACACAGAAATATTTGAACAAAAAATCATGCTCAGACAATGATTTTATTGTCCTTCAATGAAACAGTTACTTTTTTGGTAAGATGGAAATTTTGATATCAATTTTTTGCGTCGTAAGGAATCACTACCGGTACAATGTGTAGACTCAGAAGTATTAACCAATTAGCATGGAGTTTCACAAAATCGACCACAATGCCCCTTAGGACAGAGACATGTAAACGAAATTTCGGACTCAGAGACGCAGACACCTTTATTATGACAACTGATATATGCACATGGGTCTCGCTCGTCGCACTTCGGACCTGAAAAATTATTTTCTTTCATCAAACATCAGTAATGGATGCGGTAAAATAATTTCTACACTTAATCTGAATTAACAAAAAGAATTTCATTATTGTTTATTATTTTAAATGGTACACATAAAATAAAAGTTATTAAAATGGCGTTAAGTTTTCTTACTGAACTTATACTCACCTTTCATGCCGTGTTTGCATCTGCAGTTGAAGGAGCACACGTAATTGCCAGAGAAAGACCCAGACACCTGGTGCAGAGAAAACTGACAGGTGCTTCCAAAATATCCGTCTCTGCAGAAACACACAGCTGTGGTATTGTCCATGACGCAGATACCTCGGTTCTGACACGGGTTTTTCTTGCACATCAGCGGCACCTGGTAGCGATCACTAGCATGTCCAGAAGGATATTTACAGCGATATCCATCTGCCATTTCCACACACGTGCCCGACTGTCCACATGGCTGACCGTCACAATAACTGATTTTATTCTGGCATCTGGCACCAGTAAACCCGCTGGGACAAATACAGGTGAATCCATTAATGCCGTCCTGGCATTTGGCATTATTCTGGCATGGTTTGTCTGCACATTCGTCAATGTTTGTTTCGCAGTTTGCACCTTTGAAACCTTTAGTACAAACGCAAGAGTAGGAATTCACGAGATCGACGCAGGTGCCACCGTTCTGGCACGGCGTGTTTGCACAGTCATTAATGTTTGTTTCACAGTTCTTTCCTGTAAATCCCGTCTGACAGGCACACCTGTACTCTGCTACACCATCCATACAGAATGCGCCATTTTGACAGGGATTACTGGCACAATCGTTAATGTTGGTCTCACAGTTTGATCCCGTGAACCCTGTCGCACATACACAACTGTATCTGTTCAGGTCGTTGACGCAGAATGCCCCATTCTGACAAGGTCCACTGGCGCATTCATCAATGTCAGTTTGGCAGTTGGTTCCAGTGAATCTCGGGCGGCATTGGCATGAGTAGGCATTGATCATATCTCTACATACACCACCGTTCTGGCAAGGAGCACTGGCACACTCGTCGATGTTCACTTCGCAGTTGGTCCCCTTAAACCCAGCCGCACATTGGCAAGTGTAATTATTCACCCCGTCCTGACACGTGGCTCCGTTCTTGCAGGGACTATTGGCGCATCTGTCCAGGTCCGTCTGGCAGGCACTTCCTGTAGTCCCAGGTGGGCAGAGGCACGTGTAAGAATTGATATTATCCTGGCAAGTTTGGTTAGTACTGCAAGGACTACTAGCACACTCGTCTATGTTAATTGCACAGTCAGCCCCAGTGAAACCTTAATTAGACAAAAGAGTGATGTATATATGAAAAAATATCGTATTTTTAATCACTTGCTGTTTTAGCAAATTATGAGGAAAGAGTAATACAACTGATCCGACATTTTCTCTCTCCCAATACCAACTCAAAATCTACATTGGGTGTGTTTTCAGTGGAGTGGCACCCAGATTTTATTTATTAACTCCCGGGCCAAAGTGTTCTCGTCTGATATTAAAGAGAGGGATTGGTGGAGGTACCGGTGATACAGCACTTTGTAATATTTATTTGGGAATTAAAGCAAAATGTTTTAATGTAAACACGCGTTCAATATAATGTGAATTACACCAGTAAAAAGACCTGGAAAAAACTTAAAGAACATGGGTGTAGATATAAATAATGGCCCGTATTCCAGAATCTCCCTTTAGCGTTAAGGGAGACTTTAAGTCGACTTATACCAAATTTGTATTCCAAGACCTTTCTTTATCTCACTTGAAAGGAATCACTTATCAAGCATCCTTAGCAAAGGAATCGGTCATTTCTATAATCTGCCTTTGCTTAAAAATTTCCTTTATTTTCGGCTGAGGCGTCCTTAAAATGTAAGGTTGGTATGGAGTAACTTTTAGGCTGTATTCCCAGAGCTTTTAGATCGATCTATCCCCGCGGGGAGTCTCACTAGATTACTGTCAGATAATCCGGCTTAAATGTCCGTCCCGCCTACAACAAGCTGTAAGGGGGGTAATTAACTTTCGTGTCCGCTCGGCTGACAGCTATTTAGCGTGAACCCCCAGGGAGTTAGGTCGATCTAAAGTAGGTCGATCTAATCTCTGGAAATGGGGTCTAAGTCTTCCTTAAGCAGCCATTGCGTACAGTTCTCTTGTGAAAATCAGCCCCATGGAGGACTATGTAAACCAACTGGTGCGTCTTTATGATGTCAACAGGAATGCAAGACGCATGAGAACACGCCTACCTAAACTCGACTTCACCGATGACGATTTCTTTGCAAGGTTCCGTTTCTCGAAAGATGGCTTCAGCTACTTGATGGATTTCATTGGTGATGAAATGTCTGAAGCAGACAACAATCGTGGACACCCCCTGTCATCAAACCATTCTTTTCTCTTCTTGGCATACTTGCCTTATTCACTAAATTTAGCTTAGATCAAAACATACACATGCAGTGATAATGTCCATGTGCACTGTTGCATGATTGAAGTTGACCCCAATTATACAACATTACTGAGGCGTTTATAACGAGGAGGGTGTCACAAAGGCCTACTTTAACCAATGAGGAGCTCCTTTATGTCAGTGTCCCTTACCTAAAGACTGACTTTTGTCAAAGCAATTCCTTATCAAAGGAGAGGCTAAAATGTGGTCTTAGAATACCATTTCGTTAGGCCTTCCTTTAGCAAGGAACGCCTCATCAAAGGAAGTCTTTACAAAAGTTGACCTTAGGCCTATTTTAAGGAACATCTTGGAATACGGGCCAATGAATAACATTGGACACAGCAGGAAAACGCCCAAGAGATTCAAACCAAAAAGAAAAAGAAAAAAGAAAAAAACGCGAATATTTTTAATGGTACTAAATGTCACTGTTGCCAAACAATTCTGTAAGCTCACATCAGGATATTTATTGAGCAGTTTGAATATTTTGTTACTTGAGTACAGGGAGGTTATTAATACGAGAAAACGACCAGAGAGGGTTGCTTATAAACTGACCATTTGTAGAGGTCGCAATGTTGAATCAGGAAAGTAATGGCAAAACAGGATAAATAGAAGAGTGAGGGCAAGGGAATGAGGGAGGCAAGGTGCGACGAAGTGGATATACATGTACGTACCAGCAAAATGGCCAAGCATATGAAGTGATCTGAAGATATGCTATATTCATTCATTATTATGTATTGTTTGTGTGTTAGTACGATGACAGCACTACGCAGGAAACGATATAAATGACGATATACGATGCAATTCACATTACTAGGTAAACACTATTTACTCTAAACTCGCCACCGACTACAGGATACTTTAATTTTATTATTTCTGTGTCCATATTTTTCTAATCTAAAAGACAATGCATATGAAATTTACAGTCCGTTATTTATGGTGATCAAATACAAACTTACCTGGGTCGCAATACACTTGGATCTGAAGAGTCAGTCTGGAAATATCAATATTGTATTAGAATAACAGATTTGAATAATAAACAGACGTCTTCGAGGAAGTGTGTCATTGTTTTAAGTTAAAACGAATTAATCCAGCTTCATTGGAAGTAGACTACTGTAACATGTTTAACTTTAACTAAATGATTTAAAGCAATTTAAGAAATCGTTTAGACCTTATGTTAAGAGGTGATATTAGCAAATCTATCGAGAAAACAGATATACGGATTATAAGATAACCATAAACAGATGGTATTTAATACAACATACGACGTGGGTTCTGTCCCTCTAGTTCCCTGCAAGGACACCGAGGTCCAGGATGCAGCGTTCTCACTGGGGGCGGCGGCTGTTGTAATGGTCGTCTGAAGGAAGTCAGTAGGATCGTCGTCTCTGGAAGGCCCTCCATCTAAATCCTTTACATCTACTTTTAATTTGAAGGAACCCTAAATTGACACACAGCATTAGCATTTTGCTTTGTGAATAAATATATTTTTATGAAAATAAAACTTCGCATAGTATTTTACTATTAAATGTAGCGGCAAGTCTGATATTAAATAAATTGCTAAAAGGCAAATTTAGTATGATTTACCAGTTCATATCGAGTGGTTGAAAAACGCACCGAATATCAAGTTCTCACATCTATTACTCCTGAAAATTGGGCCTTACAAGAAGCATCCCAAAAAGCGAATAAAGCGTAGGGCCTATATATCCACGGTTACATAAAATCTCTTGGCATGTGTGTAAGTACACTTACCGGCCATGAGGTAAGATTTGCAACAAATGGCTCTTTGAATCCATTTTCATTTCTAAAATTTATGTCATTGCTTTTTATGTCCCCCAGATATCCAAAGGATCCGTAAGCACATGAATCCATGGAATTGCTCCTGGAATATAATACAAAGTATGTACATTTTAGCCTATTTCCAACCTACTAAACAAAAACAGAACTTTCAGTAAAATTGAATTGTGTTCACAACGCATAGGAACAATAAGAAGTATATGGATCATCTTTCAGAGGTTACAAGTCGAAATCTAAGATTCGGTAATACCTTCAGATATATATATATATATATATATATATATATATATATATATATATATATATATATATATATATATATATATCTGGTGCACGTGTCGAATTTCATAGATGTGCTCATCAGGCAATATTCAATGTTCTGTTCTGCTTTGCAATTTAAAAAATTTACACATTTAAAAAATTCATTTCAGTTGATATGTATTGTGAAAATGTAACATTTTGATTTCTAATGCTTATATTTCAATCACTCATTGTATTCAAATTGAAAGTTCATTACAAATAAAACGAAATGATATTAACTGATTCAGGACTTCAACGTACATGTAGGGGCCTGCTGATTTTAGACTGATAATACAAGAACCGTTTACAGTTCTTGCCCTTTACACCTACCCGCTGCTGCCGTCAAAGCACAACTTGAACGTCGTATCACAAGGGTCCACGTTGCACCAGAATGTCAGAACACTGTCGCAGCACTGTCCATTTGCACTTTTATAATTTTGATTCTTGAAGGTAAGCAGCTGCACTGCTATCTTACCAGTGGAATCCACCTTTGTTAGGAGCTACAATTTTTAAAAGTACTTCAAATTGTATCAATCTAAATATCTGCTGTTTTATTCTATTGATTAAAATCTGAACGCTAATAAATACATTCGAGGAGTCACAGTCGCAAATTTGTATTTCTGAAGAAAGTTGCAATGCCACAAAACGCCATAATATCTGAATTGCATAACTCTGATTAATTTTTAAAGAAAGATACGAAGTAGATTTCAAGTTACTGTGTGCGTGCGTGCGTATGTGTGTGTGTGTGCATGCGTGGTCGCGCGCGTGTGTGAAAGAGAGATATGAAAAACTGACCTTAATTAATATTATGATGAGAGTCAAAACCAGCGAAGCACCCGTCAGTTTCATAATGGATATCGGTAAAAGACAGGTTGAAAACAACTGACCGGCACAGCGTGCAAGGACTCATGTGAAAACATCCATATGAGACCTTAACTTAACATGTGGATAACCTTTGCTATATCCCCGATAACGTAGTTCTGCGAAATTAAACATTGACCTGGATGCAGATTAATAACCATTTGTATACTGACCTTGGAGAAGGGACAAAAAAGGAGTAATGAATATCCTTAAAGAAAAATGACCACAGTAATATAACTTAACCATTATTCACATAAATAATAATATTAAAGTTATATAGATTAAGGCCTCTGTCAGCGTGTAAAGTAGTACCTGACGAGTGGTTTTACAGCTGCAAATGTAGTAAGGGGAATATATTTCTGTGTCCGTTGTTAATGTGGAATCGAAAACGAAAAATTATATATTCTAAAAACCTCAATTTAAATTCTACTGTGAACATGTATTAGCCGCTGCCCCGATGAAGATATAATGAGCTATCTTCTCATCACAACGTGCATCATTTGTTCTTTGCGATACTTTGAAAATGCAGTTTCGCTAGAGCTGGAAAACTGAGCTCATGGGTAACCAAAGTGGCCGAACATGAACATATGCGCGTACGGTATTTTGTAAACTTTTTTAGTTTTTGATTCCGTCAGTTTTCATTGCAGTGAAGACCGTTGTCATTGTTATTAGTTCGTTTTTAGGTTTTCTCAACAAAAATAATAAACAGCTGTGATTTACATCTAAAGTAAACAAAACCGAATACTTTTTGGAGAACCAAACAAAAAGTTGTGAACATCACTTGACGCATTGTATGTCTTCACTAACACAATGGCATCAGCCAGTATTGCACATAACAGTGCACGATTTGCTTCAACAGAGTGACTCTGGATAATGTCTACCCTCTACCAGGGTGGCAGATATTATAGGGAAATTTTGAAATGGTCAGAGAATGAAATGGCAGTCTATTTATCTAAAGGCATATCTGTGAATATCTTGTGAAAAATTAATCTGTCGCCCTGGTAGAGGGTAGCTATTGTCTGTGTTACATCAGAAAGTCATCTACTCACAAGATATTTATGAACAGAATATTATTTCATGGCACGGGGGGTGGAATCAACATTATCGACAAATAGATATTTTTGTCTCTGAAGTCAATATTAGTATTTGATTTGAACTCATCAGCACTAGTGACCGTAAGATCCACATTGGGTTTTTAATCGAACTTAATGCAATATAATTAACGAAAAATGTATCAATTCTAATCAAGCAACAGCTTTTTTCCTTTTCTTTTCCAAAATCCGTTCTGCATTAAATGTGAAATGCGCCACTAATAGGCAAATCAGTCAGTTTAAAACAAGAGCTTTCCCTTGCACTGGGTAAACGATAGGGCCGAGAATTCAAATCATTATAGATACATATGCATGAAATTCCAAATTAAATATACCTTGGTCTCAAACATTAACATTTCTTCCGCTTCATAAAACAGTGACTGATTTAACTTGAGCCAAATTAGATGAAAAACTCTGTATTTATTTTTTGCCAAAGAGAGATTCTCTGGCTTATTCTATGAACATTTCTGTACCTCGAGAGACGTTTTGCCATAATTGACGTCATCATTCTGCAGGCCTGTAGTAGAAGAATCATCTGCGTAGCTGTTTAGGTGACTTTTGGGGTGTCACTTTTTATCTTACAAGACAGAGTAAAGTAGCACAAAGACTTTTGGTTAATCTTTCTTTGCCATTGAAATATTTTGAAAAAATTCTTGTCGGTAATGATTTTTTTAAAATCTTTGATTTATTATCTTAAGCCCCATTCAGAAGAGGGAACTAAGTAGTCCGAGGGTCAACTATGGCGGCCCGCTACAAAGCTTGCCGTCTAATCCATTAATAGACACTGTATTAGTTGTCCCGTGGGAAAGTAATCAAGTGGATCGGCCATATTTGACCCTCGGACTAGTTAGTTCCCTATTCTGAATAGTCCCTTACATTTTATTTGAAGTATTGATTATGGTAACCATAAAAAGAGAATGTACATGTAACAAAAACAACAGAATGCGCGATCGAGAAATAAAGTATAAATACTCTTGAATTTGTGTGAAAAATCAATGGTAAATAAATATTTGAAAGCTCCATCTCGTCGTCGTTGTCACTTTAACAACTGAAAGAAAAAGGTAGAAAACTATAGCTGCATGAGCACAATGGACCAAATAGACCTGTTATATTTGATGTAAATGTGACGTGTTTGTGTACGTCTTTACTAGCACAATGGCATCAGCCAGAATAACACGTGCCAGTGTGCAGTATGACTTAACACAGCAACTCTGGTCATTTTGTCTATGTAACCACAGACAATGATACTTCACGAGACATTTCAGAACGGAATATTCTTTTGTGGGCTTATGGAATGAAAGCAGCATTTGTGTTAAATCCGTTGCTTTTTTAGGGAATCTTGATAGCTAAGGATTGATTTCAATTTTTCGGTGATCCTAGCACAGCAACACTGTTTGCTTTTAAATATTTGAATTAAATTATTAAAATATTAAAGATTTTTATTATTCTGAGTCAAAGCATATGTAATATGCTGAAGAAGAACTGAAAATTGTAACCAGGTCGGTGAAAAGGCAACTTAATCTCATTTTATATAAGATGTGAGGTGCACCACTCACAGCCAAATTAACCAGATCAAAACTCAAGCTTTCCGTTTGTAAACGACAGGATCGATTTCGCAAGAGCATTTCAATCCAGCATAAATACATGAATGTCTACCTAATTAAAGTAACTTTTGGTCTAAGGCATAAATCGTTTCCCCGTTTCATAAAACAGTCACTGTTTTAACCTGGATCAAATTAGAGTAAATATTCTGTTTTTATAACTTAGTATCAACTGATGTCGTTCCGTTCTTTTGTGTCTCCAGTCCACGTTCTTCATCCACCGAATATGACGGCCTCGGTGATCAGCGTGATCAGTTGACACTGAAGATTAAGGGTTACGTTATTGAGTAATGCTATCAATCATGACGGGCCTGCCAACAAAGGCATTCACACCTCAAGCAGGGTCTTATCTGGACGTGTTTGTCTGGGCATCCTCTTCTCATAGACCGCCCCATCCTGTGTCAATACGTAATGAGTTGACCACTGTCACGCTGAGAGGGGCACGGTAGTCGCCTTGTTATTGGTTTGATAATTTATTGATAGAAAAAAAAGAGTCTACAAATCTCTTGATACATGATTTTGCTTGGGTGAGGGGGTCGCGTGGACATAAGATCTCGACAAATAGACGCAGAGATTTTTTTTATATTACACGTAAGATGCATAGTGCAGACAAAAAAGTTTTCATTCGGACAAAATTGCTACAGAATTTCAAAATGGATTGAAACAGTATATGTTTTGGCTGGTTACGCATATTTTCTTTTTTTACCCTTTTTAGTGAGAAGTGGGGACCTTCGAATCGGGCGCACATGACCCGCTGTAGTCACTACAGTCTGGTATCTCGAACTATCTTGAATTCATCGAGAAGAAAACAGAAGGAAACGCGAAAATAAGTAAAGCAGGTCTTTGTCGTAATCATTACGGGGGTTTAGGAAGTAGTCATGATAAGGATAGAAATGGCATAATTGTTATTTCACTAGTTATTTACTATTATTTGTAGCGCATTACTAGGGATAGTTATTAATGTAAATACTTTCATCCCTCTCTCTCTCTCTCTCTCTCTCTCGGGTGAGGGTGTCCGGGAGAGGAACGGAAGATTTAAACGACGATTTTAGGTGTACTAAAAACAATGTTGAAATGTCAAAATACAATATCATCCTAAAAGCGAAGAATATTGCCCCATATCTCAACCAAAATTTCAATCAAACGTAGATAACAAATACGGCAACGCTAAAATTCGTTGCATTTTCCCCTTGAAGTAAATAAAATGAAAATAATATAAATCACTGCTGCCGGAATAAGGAATAACTCCCCACTTCCGTGAAACGCCTAGAAGACTAATATGCTATTCTGTTTGAAATCACACAAACATTATAAAATAAACCAAAACGTAAATCCATTGATCCATTCAAATCTCATTTAATAAACGGAAATTGAGTTCATGTCTAGTGAATCAAAATGTAATGGTTTTTAAAATGATAAATAATAACGTGGCAGAACAACGGTAATACCCTATGCAGCCTACGCGGCAGGTTGTTATCTGTTTGGAATGTGCAGTTCAGAAGATTTGTTTGCGTAACGTGGACATATTCTTCAACATGTCATCTGTGATCAAAATATCGGGATTAAAACCCAAGGAGTTGTCTCACAGCCTCTCCATGGCTATGCCACGCCTTAGGGCTTATGGTTGTGCAATTCTATTAATGAACACGAGGTTTAGAATAGAGTGTTAAGATTTCAGGTAATTCACTTAAATAGTTAATCATGACTTCTATTACCATGGATACAAATCACGTTTTTGTCCTTTCAGTGACAAAAGAAAGCTGAAATTGAGACGATTTTGGAATTTTAATTCAGTTTAAACTGAATTTAAATTCCAAAATCGTTAACTTGATAAAATGCTTTACAAATGATCAAAATGCAATGGGTGTGTTTGTTTGTGCACACGCGTTCGTGTACGCGCTCACGTGCAATGCACCACCAGAGGAAAGATCTCTGGACGATTATTTCACTGGCAATTAACGCTAAATACATGTAATCACAGCATGTAATGCACTTAACATTTTCAGACAAATATGACCGATAAGTCTGATTTGATGCGGTTGCCTTGGCAACTGACACCATCTACTTCATACTGTAGCTACACAAAGCAGCATAGTGTACATACGAAGAGATCATCAGAGTGTTCGATTTGACAGCAATTATCTTGAATAAATATTTCGACAAGATAAATTATTGTGTATTCATGTTGCTCTGTTGAACGTGATATGGTCGCTGGCACATGAATGAAGGTGTGAATATTGAGAGAGATAGGGGGAGGGGGGAAAAGAGAGAGAGAGAATATTATTAGCCAGAATACATCTTATAACAAACTTGTTCAAATCAGTGAGCGAAAGCGGAAAGAAGAGGAAGAGAGTAGACGAATAAAAAGAACATAATAAAGCAAGAAAAAGAAGAGAGAAAGAGAATGCCAGCAGTTGGATATATTGCTTTTGAGATAACAATTTCTCAAGTCCACTTGAGTTTAAATAAACTGTAAATAACATAACATCAATTTACGACCAATGATAAGCTGTACAACTGATGGCGGAAACATGATAACCTTTTCTCTCGAGCAACGCGTATTAAAGTGGATATCATTAGAGAAAAATGGTCACAGAAAAGACCACGCCAGCATCTATAGTGGTTTTAAATTATGTTATGTTTAAATTATGTGCTCAGTAGTTATCATTCGTAGGATATTTGAAATTATCTTTTTTAGATTTGAAAATTGCTCATTTCTGTCTATATTAGCGAAACAAAAACAATTCTTCATATAAGGTTTTAAATCGGAAGTTGCAGCACCGTATCCGTTTGTAAGACGTAATTCTACGCACACTAAATCATTCTCAATTAAAATCGTTATTTACACTTATCATCCCATGAGCAAAACAAACACGCACAACAAATGTGGTTACACGCCTTTGATACTAACACTTGTCTGAAACGTAGTAGCACCCATTAATGATGTCACCCTTGCGTAGAAACATATTGGTTCATGGCTCAATGTGCCCTACCCTTGTGACTAATAGAAATAACCAGAATGAAATTATTCTTGACATGTCTGTATGATAAAGTAAAAAAACACAAAATTAAGGACGCCTGAGGCTTTTGATAAGCATTTGAAAATCTTAAAATGTAACGCTACCCTACTACCAAGTTTCTGATAT